TGATTTTTATGTTATATTTCCTTTTTATGTTTTTGTACTTATTTAATTACAATATACAATTTTTATCGTTCAAATTCAGTTAAATTTAGTTAATTGTTATGTTACTTTTTTTTTATATATATGTCTCTTTTCTAATTCAATTAACATTTATGCTAAATTCTTTTTTTATATTTTAATTTAATTCTTTGAATTTTTTAAATTTTTAGATTGAATAATTCTTCCATGCGACAATTTTTGCAATTTTTTTTAATTTTTTTTTTTTATTTTCCTTTTTATTTTTTTTTTTATTCTTTTTGTGTATTAGGATGTTTAATTCTTCTCTTATATCTTGCAGCTTTATTAGATTTACTTAATTGTTATGTTAAATTTGTTTTTTATGTTTTCTTTTTTTTCTCTTTCAACATTATCAACAACATTATTATTGTTAAATTCTTTTTTGATGTTTTAATTCTTTTAGATTTTTTAACTTTGAAATTAAATTCTTCAGCTGTGCTTCAATCTTTTTTTACTTTATAGTAGTTAATATTTTTATATTACATTCTCTTCTTATGTTTGCATATTTATTCATTCATTTATTCATTTATTCATTATTTTTACATTATAACATATAAATTCATTTATATGTTGCAACATAACAATTAACTAATAATCTTATAATGCTGCAACATGTAAGGAAAGAATTTAACATTGTAATGCATAAATAATGAATAAAAAACAAAGAGAATATAATATAAAAGTTAATTATCATAAAGTAAAAAAAAATTGAAACATTGGAGAGGATTTAATCTCAATTTAACCTCAAAGTTAAAAAAGTCTAAAAGAATTGAAATAAAAAAACAAGGATTTAACAGAAATATTATCTAAATCAAGAAAAACATTTAAACAAAACAAAAATTTGCTTTTTTGATATTTTAGATTTTTAAATTTAGATTTTTTTTGATTTTGAAATTAAATTCTTCAGCTATATTTCAATTTTTTTTTACTGTGTTATAGTTAACTTTTATGTTACATTCTCTTCTTATATATTTATATATTCTTATTCATTATTTATATAATGTACACAATAAATTCTTTTATATGTAGCAACATAACAATTAATTAAATCTTATTACAATGCTTTAACATATAAGAATAGAATTTAACATTATAATATATATAAATAATGAATAAAGTACAAAAAGAGAATATAATATAAAAGTTAATTATCATAAAGTAAAAAAAATTGAAACATTGGAGAGGAATTTAACCTCAAAGTTAAAAAAAGTCTAAAAGAAATGGAATATAAAGAAAAGGATTTAATATAATTATTATCTAAATTAAAGGAAACATTTAAACAAAACAAAAATTTGTTTTTTTGATATTTTAGATTTTTAAATTTAGATTTTTTTTGATTTTGAAATTAAATTCTTCAGTTATATTTCGATTTGTTTTTACTGTATTATAGTATTTACTTTGTATATTACTGCATTAACTTTTATGTTATATTTTCTTCTTAGGCTTGTCTATGGTATTACAAAGAGGTTTTAGAATACATATTTATTTATAATACTAATTATTTATGTTCTTTATATTTTTATTGATATTATTAGTTTATTTTTAAGTTTTTTTTTTAATTATTATTAATTATTATTAATTATTATTAATTCTTATTTATTATATTATAATATATTATATATATAATATATAATACACATATATAATATAATATATTATAATTGTGAATATACTGTTCTTATTTAAGAAATATTAGTCTCTAGAATATTATTTTAATAAATATGATTTTTGAAGACTTAAAAACTTTTAGCTCGCTGAAAATAATTGCAAGGATAATATTTCTTGAAATTGTTCTAAAGTTAATATTGGACAAATTTCAATAAACGAATATCCTGAAAATCTAAAATTGGTATATGTAAAATGGAGTAAAATTAATCCTGGAATATGCAGGATCAGGTATAACAATATAATTCAATGAAAACAATAACAAATACATATATTTCTCGAAATGTGATACACTTTGATGTTGGTGGTCGTATTTTAATTCTCGCGTGTACTGTTTTTTTCATATTTTCGTTTCAAATGGATCGGATGGTCATTAAATGGACGCGATAACGTCACTTAAACTTTTTCCATTGTGTTGCTTTTTTTTAATTTTTCATTTTTTTTTTTTTTTCATTTTGTCATTGTCGTTAAATTCTAATTGGAGCAAAGCTGTCAGTTGTGTCTACCGTGTTCTCTAATTTTTTTCTACGATTTCTCCTTTACGACATTTTTTTCTCTTTATTTTTTTTTCTTTTTATTTTATAAACTATCCTTGGACTGCAGTATACCGCGCACATGATTGTGCACGTGCATCTGATTTTTTTTTTATTTTTGTTTAGATAACCAACAAACACTATTGCGCTTCCTCGTTTTGTCATTGTTTGAAAATTGTGCCGAGATCCAAGACCGGCCTTAGAAAGCTACGACGTAGTTTAATTAATAGCAACTTGTACTAGAAGGTACTTATACAAATATCAATCTTCGAGAAACAGTATGTCTGTTTCTTTCTCGATTTCCTTGCTTTCTTTTTACATCATCGGACGACTGTCAACGCAAAAATTATAATAATAGGAAAAGAAAAAATGCTTGGCTTTGTTGGCAATTTCTCTAGATAATATCAATCGCGATTATGAAAAGATTACAAAAGATTTTTTTGTTCGCGCGTGTAAATCGAATTTCTGCCCATTATTCACAATATTAAATAGCCTTCGATGTATCTATTATAATCTAATGAGTTTTGTTTATGTTTTAGTTAATTAGGCTGCATGCCAAAAGCGACATATTTCATGTATGATTGAACAATGAATGCGAAAATGCACCATGCATTGTATTGTTTCGTTAATCCATATCATATCTAATTTTATCATATTTTTTTTTTATGCATGGAGTTTATAATGCATTGCGTTTGCAATATTTACGAATCATTTTTTTTTTTTTACTTTTGTTTTTAATTTTTTTTCGCAGTTAAGTTAAAATGTATATGTTTAAACAAATTCTCTAGTCGTCTTTTACTATGATCGAATTATGAGTCTAAGTTGAAGAAGCAATTTACGTGCAATTTCTTTTTGCAGTACGAGATTTACCCGCGTATACACTACACAAAAATTTCATATTATACAACGTGCATAAAATCTCGGCGAAAAAAAGAAAAAAAAAATATATATATATATATATATATATAATATGATAACAAGGCATAAAACAATTTTTATAATGTCGACACGATTAATCATACATAGATTTTGTATCCAACTAAAATTTACAATTGTAAAGCACGGTTGATTCTATAAAGTTTCAACGCATGGTTACAAAAGTAAAGAAACAAATGTACAGAATGTATATATTTTAACTAAAACACAATTGCTGTATAAAAAAACTGGCGGTTTAAAAGCGAATCTGTCATTAACAAAGCTTTCTATAAAATTAATTTTTTTTTTTTTATATGTCTACAAATATATACGTATGTATGATAATAATGTATCATATATATATATATATATTATATATATATTATAAGCTCTTCAAGAATTCGTGTTGTCACGGGTTAAAAAAAAACCAATTAAAAAATAATAAAATAATAAATCAACAATATAAATGAATAATAGGCGCAATATAAAAAGTTTTACCGGGAATATACTTTTAATGCCGATTTCACATCGCAAAAAGTGCTAAAAAACATGTGTATATAATAATTATACTTGATTATTGTCACTGAGCGTTGCAACGAGCAGAATCGCTTATTATTTAGCGCACCAACAGTACATAAAATATTAGTCGCATATGTATTATCCATGAAAGGCGCATGAGTGGGCTTTGCTCATGATTAACTTTTTTATTCAGAATTTCTCTTTTTTTTTCTTTGTCAGACAAGAGGAAGCAACTACGAACAGAGATATACATTATTTGTTCTTGTCCTGTAAGGGGAGCCCTCTTAATGCATAATTTACTTCAATGATCATTTACGTAAGTAACCCTTGTCGTGGCGTCATTAACAATGGAACTTGTAATTTCGATTTCTTTTTTTTTTAGCAATAAAAAAAGTATTTTTAATATTTTAAAAAATGATTATGATTATTATATTATAATTTTTTAGAATTTTGATTTATGCAATTGTATCTTGCAATAAGAAAAAACTAATAGTAATTAATAAAAAATTAATAGTCATAGATATTAAAAATATTTACAAGTAACAAGAAACATAAAAAAAAGAAAGAAACAAAAAGATAATGAAAATCCATTGTTCGACGAGCCATCAACCGTTGTCGAAACACGATAAAACGATAATAAAAGATGCGTCGCGACGCTTTCCCCGTACTCGAGACATCGTGTAGCCCTTCGAGCGATTTATCAACTGGCATACAATCGAGCGCCGAAAAAACGAAACGCTACAGAGAGAAGAGAGAGATTAAAACGTTATGTATGAAAAAAAAAGAAGCACTTGATCTCTACCTTACGATAAAAACAACTAGAATCACTTGTGTGTGTACCATCACCACTTGTGGGATACGCTACAGTAATTAACGTTTCTTAGAGAACTAGGACCTAGTCCGTGCGCAGAAAAGCGTCGTTCTCCCAAATATCTTTCGTTCTTAATTTATCCTTTTTTCTTCCTCATTCTTCTTTTTCTTAACAAATTACCGATTACGGATAATTCTTTCCTTTCCCGCTCTTCTCTTAATTCTCCGATATTAAAATTAGAAAAATGTTACAATCGATATTCACTGGACAATCTTCAACTCATGACATGTTTCAAGACCATGTCGAGGTACAATAATGCTAGTTATTGTACTTGATCAGACGTCGTTGAGAAAAATCTTAAAATTTTTAGCGCTGTTCAAGAAAAAAAAAAAAAAAATGTCAAATTAACGAGAAAAACGTTGAATCAAGAATTTATCCGCAATCAGATCCTGAGGGCCGCATTGTACAAGAACCAAACAGAAGCTCGAGAGTCAGCGCGTGATTTAAATAGCCGCGTAAGGACCGTTTGCGACCATTTTTTTTTTTTTTTTCCAACTATTGATCATTCATACGCGCGCCTGTCTGTGCTTCGTACATTTCTTTCACTTATGTATTATCCTAATTAGCTCCAGCTCAGTTTATGAGGCAGTTATCGCGTAGATGCCAGATGTTTTTGGTACAGTTGAGACACTTTTTACGGATATAATACCATATATAATCGCTTTTCCTTCAATATTTTCCACCGGAAAATATTCAAGGGGAAACTTGTTACCTCATTCGCTTAAAAGAAAATCTCTTAGAACTAACTTCAGGTGGGTTCTTTATGAATAATATAAATAATATAACGCGTTTTTTAATAAAAATATAACGATTCGTTAAAAGGTAAAGAAGAGATATTATACATATTACTATTACATTCAAAACATTGATAATTCAAATGTCTCTAGTTAACAAATTAACCTAATTCCTTTCGACAAATTAACAATTTGTCATCCCTTCGAGAGGCATCAGAGAGTCCATTTCATCATTAAATCTCCTTACGATACGTTCGATTGAAAGCGTTCACTTGACTGATTAACATGCTTCGCGTAAAAGGAAAAGTTTCCAAGTGTCTCGTGGTGAATACCTGTACACATGTTGTTTATACATTATTCATCTGGCACGCACACTAAACTAATTCACGGTCTGCTGCTCCGCGTGTATACGTGTATGCGTATGTCTCCTTTTTTTTTTTTTTATGTATATAGATATATACGTAACGCGTTTCTTGTATATATGTGTATACATATAATGCTTGATAATGCGTTGCAGCGAAGTTAATATACCCGACTATACACCTCTTGGTATGTAATAATACGCGTATATATAAATACATACACGTGTGCATGCGGTCGCGCGTGGTACACGCGCGCACAGAGTCATACTTTTACAGACACAGACATACACACGGCCGTGTATGTACGCGCGCGCGCGCATGTATACATATATATATATAATCTAACTATACATATAACTATGTACATTTTTTTTTTTTGAGGGATAAGGTGAATTTCGAAGGGAGAAAGGAGCACTGGGGGGAAAAAGGGGAACCGAGAAGAGGGTACGGATTAAAAGAAATATACGTGTGTCTGTGTATGTGAGCGTATGAAGGGAGAAGAAAAGAAGAGCAAAAAGATGTGGTGTGAATAGCAGAAGTTTCGTCGAAGGAATATCATCGTCTAGGGATTGTCTAGGGAAAAAGGGAGGAGGGGTAAGTTTTTTCGAATTCGTCGAGGATGGTCTTGCGATTCGGCGCGCTCCTTTCTTTTCTTCTTCTTCTTCTTCTTCTTCTTTTTTTTCGTTTTTTTTCTTTTTTTTTTTTTTCTTTTTAACTCTTCTTTCATCCGAACTGGCGAAAAACCTAAGTGCTGCGACTATAGTGTGTGGGAGGAGCTGGCACAACAAACGCTCGTGTTTGCATCTTTTTTAATACCACGACGAGCTGTTGCTTGCCCGGCGCACTGTTAGACGTCCGTGTATTTGCTCAGCTTGTCACGCAGCAGCATGTTCTCGTTCTTTAACCGGTCCAGTTCCTGTCGTAGACCCATATTCTGAAAAGAGAGAAGACTTTTGGAATTCGGGATCAAGTATCGTAAAATTATCGAAAAATCTTTTCGGAGGGGAGGGGATAATATCATCATAATATTGTTCCATTTTGCGCGCGTTTGACAAAAAGAAAAATGAATCTAATCTTAATGAATATGATCTTAATTCCATCGATAGAATGGAAATATTAGATCTTTATTCTAATATATGTTGTTTAATTTTAGAGGCGTGGGAAGATTTACTTCTTTCTCGAGGAAGCCGGCCCTGAGAGCGATCTGGTTCTCCTTCATGCGACGTGCATCCCGTGATCGTTTCGCTGCCATGTTATTCTTCCTACGACGCGCCCAGTATTTGTCATCCTTCAGGTCATCCGGAACGAACTGTAGCCGGTAGCGGACCATGGAAAAGAGCAGGAAATTAGAACGTAGAAATTGCTGTATTTCTAAATCGTGGCGAAAAAAAAGATTATTGTATCTGTAAGTAGAATCTTTGATTGGAAACGAATTTGTGAATATAATTAAATTTTCTTTTTCAAATATATCGAACATGAAAATGGACTGACCTGCTTCCGTGATTTCTTGATCATCGGTTGGGGTTTCAGCTCCTCGTCGGAGAAGGCCCGGGTGCGTGGATCGAAGTCTCGCCCCGATGAGGCCATCGAGAGCGCTACAAGAGACAAGCCATATTGTATTCGTGACGAGTCCTCGGAATCTATCACGCGAAGAGGGAATAATCGACAATTTCGATGTTAGTTTCATCCGTTTCCCGAAAACTATATCGTCGTTATACAGGAGTCGATCCTGAGACTTTAACGCCTACACTTTTTCAACTCGTCATCCTGATCCCTTGGATAATCGTTTACTTTTAAAATCAAATTTAAAACGATACCATTGCATTTCTTCTCCTAAATCCTCCATTTCGTTTTTACTCTTCGACAAATCTTCTTATAAATTCTAAACTCTTGAAATGCAAAGATTTTGAGATTTATATTTATAAAAGTAATAAACAAGTTTACTTTTTTACTTTTAACTTTAACGTTGAAATTCTATCGTGAATTAAATAACCCTTTTCACTTCACACCAACCCTTCAACCCAATTCTTCCCTCCCTAATTCTTCCACGATCGATAAATTAAACGAAACGATCGTCGTTAAAAATACAATTCCCTCAGGATCGACGTCCAAACAAATGAGGTAGGAAATCGGATGAACGATTCACTCACTGGAATCCGCGGGCGAGGGAGGGTTCATAGTGTCGGGTGAGCAACACTCGCTCGGCGAGGGTGATCTCTCGCGTTTGGTGACCGGCTCTAAGTGGAGGCCGGCTGGACCTTGGTGTCCTGGTGTTTCGGTGTTGTTCATTTTGTGCAGTTGTCCGCTCTGCATCGTCCCTTGTCCGCCGCCGGCCACTCCATCCACGGGAATACCGTTCTCGGAGAGAAACTCGTCGAGATCGACGTACTGTAACAGGAGGATAACAGCATCCTTTTTTTTTTTTTTTATTCGTTTTTGGTCTTCAACAGAAAAAAAAAAAGATCGGTTATAACAGAGTCGAGTGTTGTGGTGTTATCATTCATTTCAAATCGATACTATGAACATCGTGTATATCTAGCTAATTGAGCAAACGAGAAATAAAAATTTTTTCTTTTTTCTAAAAGAAACGCGAATGGGGAAGAGTAAAGTAAATTAACTTTGGGCAATTAACTTTCAATTCATAATTTTACCGTTGGATGCAGAAAGGATCTTACTCACTCATCCCAGTTTGTTTCTTATTGTTTGGAATGATAAATGTAACTCAATTTTATAAGATATAATGAAATTTATCAAGGATATTTGTGTTCTTCTTGCATCCGGTAGTATAATTAATGTAAAGTACAATTAATGAAAAATAAAAAAAAAGAAAAAAGAAGAAAAAAGAAAAGGGGATGAAAAAATCTAGAATTTTTAAAAACCGCAGATACTTGGGATCTGCGTTTCAGCCGGATTGTGAGCTTACCGTATCGCGTTTTTGTACATACATGGTTCAATACCTTCAGGTCGGCATCATAGGGCAAAGTTTTGTCCCATAGATTTGGGCCGAGGAAGGCGGCCTGCGCTTCCACGTTGCCCCATAATTCTCCATCAGCGTCCTTTTTCTCTTCCGGTCCATCTTTGCCTTGTTTTCCTGAGAATTTTCGTTATTTCGTTATTTACTGTATTAAATTATTTTATATATATATATAAATTTAGCATTTAAATCTCGTACAATTTGTAACTTCTTGTGCGCGACAATTTTCATCTCGAAAGATTGTATCCGTAAAAGATAGAGAGGATAGTTTAAAAATATTTACAATAAGAACTAAATTTTTTTTTTTTTAATTATTCAACCGTTGAAAGACCGCATATAGACAAATATGAATTTTACAAGAATCGACAAGATATGTTTTTATGCTTGTATAAAAATGTAATAATTTAATAATAATTAAATATTAAAAAAAAAAAAGACAATAAAGTAGAAGTAATTAACGACCACGTGGCGCTAGTGTCGCGTCATAAGCCATTACAATATACTCACATTTATATATTATTATTATTATAAATCACGACGTAAAAATATTTATTATCTTGCTCGAGAAACTTTCCGATACAATGTAAAGATTGACGAAAAAGAAAAGAGGGATTCAACGATTCAAGAAGACCAAAATTCGCGTTTAAAAAAATATCATAACTACATTTCCAAAATGCGATTACTACCTATTGCTTTGTTAACATACAAAGTCTATGTTTCGACTTAAAAAAGAAAAAAAAAAAGATTCTCTTTTCTTTCCATTCATTTAAGCTTTTTTTATCTTCGTTTTTTCTTTTTCAACTATGATAGAAGAGAAACCTTTTAGAATACGCGAGATGACACGCTTCCCCCCGTCCCTCCTTTACACCTTTTTTTCCACACACACACACACACACACACACACACACACACAGTGTCGGAAGCCGTGGCCATCAAAAATTACTTCGTGGAAGAAAAGAAAAAGAGGAGCGGATCAGTTGGCGACCTTGGAGATGCTCCTCCAAAAATAGCGAGCCGACCTAACAACTTCTCTCTGTTTCTTCTTCTTCTTTTTCTTCTTCTTCTTCTTCTTCTCGTTTCGAGGTGTTTCTTCCGCGTTTTTTTCTCCTTCTCCAAAGACCGGCAGGCTTAATTGTTCCTCGTGTCATGCCATATCTTCGTTTCATTTCGTTATGCGCGTAAAAAAAAAAAAAAAGAAAAAAAAAATTTGCGAATTTATCACGAGGCAAAAATAAAAAGTGTATTAATTTTTCACCGTGCACCGCTGTCTATTATCGAATATTATATCGAATATTGCGAATGTTTATGCAAATTTAAATTTTTACGAAGAAAATTTTTGTAAATGAAAAAAAGTGAGGTTAGGATTTCGTAACCTCGAAAAGATTAGGAAAAAAAAAAAAAAATTACATCTTCCACCTCGCGCAAATAAAACTGAAATGCAGAACGTTATTTTTATATTTTTCTTCTCTCTCTCTCTCTCTCTCTCTCTCTCTCTCTCTCTCTCTCTCTCTCTCTNTCTATCTATCTATCTATCTGTCTATTTATCTATCTGTCTATTTATCTATCTGTCTATTTATCTATCTATATATCTATCTATCTATCTCTATCTCTATCTCTCTCTTTTTTTTCCGATGACTGAACGTGCGGTTCAAACGCGACGAAACCGCATTCAATGGTTATTATCATGGTACACCGCCTATTGGCGAGGTCGTACCTCTACCACAATCTGATAGATTTCAACGAACGAAGATTTTTAATATTCATACTACGTTTCCTCCCGGGTTACGACTGATCTTTGAATTATTGCTTGTGATTATCGCCGGCTACGATTCCAACAACCGTGGATTATCTGGCGTTTATCTGTAAAGAGTAATCAAGTAAATTCAACGAATTTATAGAAGATGTTTATAGAAGATAGAAAGGGAAAGGAAAGAATTTGCCTCGTCAGAGTTGTTGCAACTAACAATAACGCTGTTTAATCCTTGATTCCTTTATAATCCTGCCCCTAAAACTCTCTTGGAAGATAAAAATCTTTTAAAAGATAAATTATTAGAAACGAACAAATGAAAGAAAAAAGATCCTTAACTCGAGATTTTTCTCAAATTCGATTAAATTTTATTTTGAAAGTGAACAATTTTTCATTACATTACGTAGAAAAAGAAAATTATTTAGATTAAGATTAAAAATAATCTAAAAAATTAATTCATTCGCTTCCAGTAACGATAAATATAAAATTCGTGCTCCAAAGTGACATAATCATCGTAAGACTTGGTCGAATGACCAATGTATTTTGAATGAAAAAAAAAAAAAAAAAAAAAAAAAATTCCACTGAAAATACGGTTGAAAACGGTTTGGAAACGCCTAATAACTATACGGAGCGCGGTTTCTCCGTGCACGCTAGCTAAACAACTAAACAACGACAGCTTGCAATTTGGTTCAAGGCTGTCGATCGTCGCCAACTCTGCGGAACTAATCTCGCGTTGCGTGGCGTGGCGTGGCTAGAACACGAGCAACAGCCGATTAAACGAGAAGAAGAAAGGGAGAAGAAATCGTGTCGTACGAAGGTGAAGAGGAGCAATCTAAGGTGAAAAGAAATCAAGTGTGGAGAGAGAAAACGGATGATGGATGGTGTTTATATGGTGATGAATAATGAAGATTATTGGAAGGAAATTTTAATCGATGATCTAAAGATTTAAAGATTCAAGGATCTAAAGATTCAAAAATTTAAGGATCCAGAAATTCAGAGATCCAAGAGATTCGAATATGTAAAGATGCAAAGATTTAAAGATCCAAAGATTTAAGGATCTAGAGATCAAAGATTCAATAATCCAATAATTCAATAATTTAAAGATCTAATAATCTAAAATAATCTAAACGTTTTATAAAATCTCAATCATAAACTGTTAATGGAAACACAATCATGTATCTTGTAACAACATGATAACATGATAACAAATACCGATGTTAACTAATTTAAATTGATCAATCAACCAACAATCGACCAATTTTTAATAACAATACCAAACATCAAAGTTAATAAAAAAAAATATATACATCAAAACCTCGTTAAATTCAAATACCAAAGCTATAAATTCCTAAATTCGCCCCTCCAAAAAAAAGAAAAAAAAAAAAGAACTTAAACTTTCAAAAGAATGGAGCGCGAACGCGGTTGTCGAACAGAATTGACCGAGTTTCCTGTTCGGGGCAGCCGCGTAACGAAAGCGGAAGTACGGTAAAGGGCAATTGTCGCGGAGGAGGCCGAGAAAGAAGCTGGATCAGAATCTGGCCGGAGAGAGAGACGATTTCCGTTAACGGTAGAACCAGTTCTCCGCTCTGCTCCTTCGTTATACCGAGAGCGTGCCTCTAATTACTATGTTCCCCTGTCTTTATCTCCTCTCCTCTCCTCTCCTCTCCTCTCTTCTCTTCTCTTCTCCTCTCGCGGTTCTCCGTCATCCCGATTCCCCTACAAGATATTCCTTTACGTAATCGACAACACGCGAGCGTTTTACCTGACTCAAGTATGGAATGACTCATGTGCACGTCCTGGGAGGGAAAAAAAAGAAGAAGAAAAAAAAGGAAAGATCGAAACGATTTGTCGTTATCGTGTTTCTTCGCGACAATAAAGGTATCGAAAACGCGACGTCGTGTTCCATGTAGAAATTTTTAATTTTACTCTTCTCTTCGCTCTTATATTATATTATAGAATCGTGACGCTCTCACGAATGAAAAACCAAAAACTTGATAAAATTGGTTACTTAGAGTCGAGTTTTGTTTCTCTATGCACGATCAAATAGCGACGTATCTTGAAACATTTTGATTGATGGATAAAACAAGTGAAAAAATTAAATGAAAGTAGATTTACTTGATCTCCTTCCTTTTTTCAAAATCTAATAATTTTACATTTTGCTGTTTGCAAAATTTGCGACGAATCTACGAGTTTCTTAGATTCAAATTATTCGAATTTCAAATTCCCTCCCCTCTCCCCTCTCCCTCGTTGCTTCGATTTTTTTCTTTTTTTTTTTTTTTCAAAGTGGAGAAAAAAATTTGCCTCAACCTCCGATTTTGTATCTTAGTTTTTTAAACACGCAATAACGATCAGAAGAGATTTGCGTGAAATCGCGAGCACCGTTTCTAATTGTAATTGCAGCGGCACGCGGTGAAATTAATTTGACAGGTAATAATTCACGAAACCGAATAAAATATCCATTAAGTCTCACGCAGTTGCGTTCGGGTACGCGCGAGCGATTGTCCATCCACGGAAAAGGAGGCGAGATTCGAGATAAAACCCGGTGAAAGGGAATTGAAAATAGTTTTATTAACGAGCAACGATGATTTCCGCTTTTTTAAACCTTATCTTCGTTACATATCAATTATACTCCACGGTTTCTTGTTATAACTTAATTGGATTCACGGCGTAAGGCGTTACACTTTCATAATCTTGATACGTTGATTCAATTTGCCGTGTCATTTGGGGGATCCGCTTCTATAGAATTATTCTATAGAATTTATAATTTTACTTATAATTTTTGAATAAGATCTGTTAAGGAGAAATTGGGATTCGACATCGGATGAATTAAAATAATTTTTAACAAATAATTTTCAACAACAACAACAAAAAAAAGATTTAAAAAAGATGGAAAAGATGGAAATATCGAGCGAGAGTGCGAAATGCAAATAAAGGGAAATGGACGGTATGTTGTCAGACTCCGTTCTCTTTCAACGATTCTTTCAACGACAGAAGATTTTTAATAGATAATAATTTAATTTCACACAGAATTAGAATCGATAACAATTTTATTTGAAATTAAAAAAGTCTTCTTTTTTTGAAGGAAAAAAATTCCAAACTATTTATAGGTATATTTAAAAGGAATATTTAAAAATATCGAGGAACAATATCATTTATCTGGGAAAGGAAAAAGATGTTTAAAATAATATGAAGTGATAATAATTGACAACAAGGAAGGCGTGCCACTATTGGCAAACGGATAAACAATCGCATTTGTTTGGAGATAGTTTCCTGTGGCCTTGGTACATTGATACTCGGCTATTTCGGACGATAGATCGAATACGAAGTGAAACTGAAATCCGTGATCAAGGTCTAGCTCGTGATCAAGTTT